CTGATATTAAGAAACATTCCCCAGTAAGAGTTTATTTAAATTGGCATTGAAGTAACTCAACCTCCTGGCTTCTGCCATTATAAATCTCCCCAAACTTCCTTTTTTACCCACTAATTGGGGGCCGCTTTCCAAACTGTCATCTCTTTCAATCCAGTCCTCAGTAACTTCTGCAGCACTTTTCACGCGACAGCTTCAACTGGGGAGGAAAAATATCCTGCTTCTCTCTTCTTCTTCAACATGGCTGCTGGCTGTGGCTGAGGCAGGGCCCACAGTGAAACGCCAGGCAGCAGCCGGAGGGGGGAACGCTGCCTGCGTCTGGCCTGATGCGACAGGGATAATGCCGTCCCCGTTTCACAACCTTCACTTCGGACAGATTTACTTTATCTTGGGCAGGACTCGGCACTTTGCTCCCAGTCTCTCAGCAAATCACCACTCTAAGGCATTTCATGCAAAAAGACCCATTCCAGATTTTCCCACTTTTAGTAGGTCGTTCGCAACAAGTACTCAAACCTTTGCTTAAAAGATACAATTTGGGCTCGCATTTTAACGAATTCCAGCAGGCTTTTTTTTTGTTTTTGTTTTTTGGGGGGAAGGGGTTCTGGATGTGTTATGACCGGGCTGGCTTGTAGTTACAAACCAACACGCCTCCCCAAAGCAAGAGTTACGCTCAAGACACTTCCTCGGCGGGGCTCGGGGCAGAGAAGGAGCTAAGGGTATTGGACGCCTCGATTAGGCGAGGCCGGGTATGGGTCCCTCAGGGTGAGGGGGACCCCGACTTTCGGGAAGGGGCGGGGCCATCGGCCCGGCTCCTCGGAGGCCTCCAATGCGGTAGTACTTCAGGTTCCCGGCCTTCGCTGCGCGGCCCCATCCTCCACCCTCCGCACCGCTCCGACTCCCCCTACACCCCCCCGCCCTCCCCCAACACCACCGCAGCCACCGCCACTCCAGTGACAGCTCAGACGCTTGGCTCCCTCAGCCTCCTCACAACCCCGCACATCTCAACAAGCGCCTTCGTGATTGGCCGCTCAGCCTCTAAGCGAAACCAATACTGACAGCGGCAGTGGGCCACAGCCACGCCGATCAACCCTAAAACCCGCCCCCCAGCTTCCTTTCGTGGTACCCGGTCCTAGGAACGCCCCGAAATGAAGCCCTTTCCCCCGCGCCTCGGTCATCCTAGGGCCTGCCAGCCATCTCCGCTCCTCTCTAGCTCCCCTGAGGAAGGCGCTGGCGAGACCCAACCTTTTTCACTTCAAAGCGCTTCTTCCCCGCGCCGCTGTTGGTGCCGCTCGGGGTGTCCACATCCATCGCTGCCGCCATTTTGGAAACACACGGTCTGCCGTCTAGCCACTGCGCCTGCGCAGCAGTGCACTGGCTCCTCCCCCCCGCCCCGGCTCCTCCCCCCGCCCCGGCTCCTCCTCTACACCCAGTCAGGGGTGTGTGGGCGGGGCGTGTGGCCACGCCCCTTAAAGGCGCTGGCGGAGGTTTTTCCCCCCCCCCCCCGTCCTGCGTCGGTCGGGGAGGAGCCGGTGGCCCGGCGGCTGGGGCGAGGCCGGGCGGGGCCGGGCGGACGTGAGCGAGCGGGGAGGGAGCGCTCGGAAGGACTCGCTCTCGTCGCCCTCCCGCGGGGAGGCCCGGCCGCACTGCTGCAGCTGGGGCGGCGGCTGTTTCCTCCGCCCGGACCGCGACCTGCGGGCCCCGGCCCCGCCCCGCCTCCCCGGCCACCCCGCGGCTCGCGTGCCGGCGGGTGTCCTCCTCCTTCCGCCGGGAGAGGGGTGCGGTGGGCGGCCTCCCTCTTCTACTGCCGAAACCCGCGTCCACACACGGGCCGTTCGCAGATCGTGACCGCCTCCCGAGCCAGGCCCGACATGCCGCCTCCCGTGGAGGCCTGAGGCCGGGGCAGCCAAGGCAGCCGGGGCCCTGAGTCCAATTGGGGAAACGCTCCGGAAGCTCAGATCGTCTCACGGAGCAGGCATCTTGCAGCTCCGCCTTCACCTGCCCCCCTGAAATAACGAGGAAGGAGACGCTACGCCCCAGAATGGCCTTTGGTTAAAGGAACACGAATTGACGCACTTGAGCACACGTTTCCTGGTTATCTGTGGGGTTCTTTCTCCCTAAATTCGATCCTCTTTTCGCTTCTCTAGCCATAGCCACATCGCTAGTCTTGAATTTGTGTGACTCTGTTAGCTATTTATTCTTACCGGACATCCCTTCCCAGCCCAGAACCTGTCCTTTATGTCACCCTCAGACCTGTTATCTCTCACCTTGCAGAGGTATAACTCAAATCACAATTAAATTTTATATTGGCTTTATTAGAAATTTCCTATTTTCTCTTGAAAGGAAACCGGAGAGCAATGGAGTGTATGTTGACTCCATTGCTAAACCAGAATAACTGCAATTTGTTTCCGGTCTTAGTCATAAACAGGTACAACGAATCCGTGAAAACATCTCGGCTTTAGCCAGACTCGGAAGGGAAAGGAGCCCTACAAAGTTTTTCTTAGTTCAAGTTTTGCTAATGATTCCATGTTAAGGTTTCTGTCATCTATTGTGTCCTTGCAGGCCCCTATATGAAGTCTAGGAAGCTTTAGTAAATTAAAATATTGAAGGCATATTTATCCTTCATTCACCGAGTTCATTGAGTATGATCCAGGTCCTGATACAGAGAGGAGAGACAGTGATGAAGATGTCAAACTCCTAGTAAGGAAATGACATGTCAATGAAGAGAGACAGAAGATAATCTCTGGCATCCCCAAGGGCTATGAAGAAGACACAAGATCGTGCGGTTGAGGGGAGATGAAGCAATATTAAATTGGGTGATTAGGTCTTTGTGTGGAGCAACATTTAGGCATCATAGGGGTAGGGGAGTTCATTCTCAGTCAGAGAATAAAAGTACCAGCTCCTCAGCTGACCTATAGTATCCTATACCATCCTGGTTGCAAACTGGATTCCTGGCCCTGATCAGGGCGTGGGGGAGGCAGTCAGTCGCTGTATCTCTCTCACATTGATGTTTATCTCTCTGTCTCTCCCCCTCCCTTACATTCTCTCCAAAAATCAATGGAAAAATATCCTCAGCTGAAGATTAACAACAACAAAAAGAATTGTTTGCCATGATTAAAGGGGATTTCTTCCAGGGATGTACATTTCAATATTTTATTTTTTAACAGGTTCAAGAAGAAAAATCACATGATCATACAATCGGTACAGAAAAAACATTTGGCAAAATTCAACAACCATTCATTATAAAAACTCAGAAAAGTAGGAATAGAGAACTTCCTGAACTTGATAAAGAGCACCTACAAAAACAAAAACAAAAACAAAAAACACCTGCAGCTAACATACTTAATGGTGAAATACTTACTGAATGCTTTCCTCCTCAAATTGGAAACAAGGTAAGGATGGTCTCTCTTACCACTCTTACTTATTGTAACACTGGAACTTGTAGCCAGTGCATTCAGAAAGCAGAAGGCATACAGATTGGAAACAAAGATATAAAACTGTCCCATTTCTAGATGATACGCAGTTTATGTGGAAAATCTAAGGAATCTTAAAAAAAAATAAACCCTCTTAGAACTAATAGGTATGATCAACAAGCTCATAGGATACAAAGTAAACATACAAAAATTGCATTTGAATATACAAGCTATAAACGTGGACATAATAGAAATTAAAAATAATATAATCATAAAATTAAATATGTACAAACCTAACAAAGCATGTATAGAAACTGCTACACTTAAAATTAACAACACTGAAAATTATTTTTAACACTTAATAAGTAGACATACCATGTTCATGGATGAAAAGATTCAGCATAGTAAAAAGTTCAGCTTTCACCAAATTAGTATACAGTTTTAACACAATTCCTCTCAAAATCCCAGGAAGTTTTTTTTATTATAGTTATAGGTAAAATTATTCTGAAATTTATATAGAAAGGCAAAAGCTCTACAATAGCTAAAATAATTTTGAAAAGGAAGAATCACTAATTTTGAAAATCAAGAATCTTTACCTGCTTATAAGACTTACTTTGCAGCTATAGTAATCAAGACTGTGTGCTATAGGTAGAGGAACAGACATATATGTCAATGGGACAGAACAGAAAACTCAGGAGAAGGTCCACCCAAATATGCTCAATTAAATGTTAACAACTGCGCAAAAGCAAGTCTGTGGAGGAAAGATTGCATTTTCAACAAAAGTTGCTGGGGCAATTAAGACATCCACGGACAAAGAACACAACACAAGGCTGTAGACCTACTCTCACACCTTATACAGAAACTAGCTCCTCATGTATCATGAACTTAAATATAAAACATAGTACTATAAAACTCTTGGAATAAAACAGTAGGAAATTTGCAGGATTTAGGGCTAGGGTTCTTGAGACTTGGCACCAAAAAACATGATCCCTTAAACTTTAAGGCTTAAAGGAACAATTGCTAAGTTGGACTTCATCAAAATTTAAAACTTTTGCTTTGTGACTCTGGTAATAGGATGGAAAGACAAGCTACAGACAGAGTGAGAGGAAGTTTTTGCAAGGCATATATGTGATGAAGCACTAATATCTAGAATATAGAACTCTTAACAGTCAACAGTCAATAATCAAATGATCTAGTTAGGAAATGGGCAAAAGACAAAGAGCTATTCAATATTTCATCAGAGGATATACAAATGGCAAATAAACACAGAAAGAGATGTTCAACATAAATGGCCATGACAGAAACTCAAATTAAAGCCACAATTAGATGTCAGTCCACACCTATTAGAATGGCTAAAGTACAAAACAAAACCAGACACTGTGACAACGCCACCGTTGTCAAGAATGCAGAGAAACTGGATCCCTCGTCCATTGCAGGTGGAATGCAAAATGGAACAGCCACCCTGGAAAACAAGTTGGCAATATATTTGAAAGGTAAACATGCAACTACCGTACAACTCAGCAATTGCAGTCCTGGGCATTTATCCCAAAGAATAAAAACTTCTGTTCACATAAAAATCCATACACAGAGGAGGGACGGGTTTGTAAACCCCGGAGCGAGGTCCTGCCTACCCCAGGCCGCTGCGGTGCGGAGACCCCGGGCGAAGCGCCGTCACCATGTCTGACCAGGAGGCAAAACCTTCAACTGAGGGCTTGGGGGATAAGAAGGAAGGAGAATACATTAAACTCAAAGTCATTGGACAGGATAGCAGTGAGATTCACTTCAAAGTGAAAATGACAACACATCTCAAGAAACTCAAAGAATCATACTGTCAAAGACAGGGAGTTCCAATGAATTCACCCAGGTTTCTCTTTGAAGGTCAGAGAATTGCTGATAATCACACTCCAAAAGAACTGGGAATGGAGGAAGAAGATGTGATTGAAGTTTATCAGGAACAAACAGGGGGTCATTCAACAGTTTAGATATTCTTTTTAATTTCTTTTCTTTTCCCTCAATCCTTTTTTATTTTTAAAAATAGTTCTTTTGTAATGTGGTGTTAAAACGGAATTGAAAACTGATACCCCCATCTCTTTAAAACATCTGGTAATTTGAATTCTAGTGCCCATTATTCATTATTGTTTGTTTTCATTGTGCTGATTTTTGGTGATCAAATGTCAGCCTCCTTCATATTGCCCTCTCCTTTTGAAATATTACGTGTGTGCACAGGGAGGCCACCTTTTCCAGGACTGCATTTTCAGGCTTGTGATATAAATAGAGTCGACCAATGCAAGTGTTCATAATGACTTCTAATTGGCCCTGAAGTTCTAGCATGTGATTGCTTCACTCCTGGACTATGACTTTCAGTGGGAGGTGGAAGTTTTTCAGAGAACTCAACTGTGGAAAAATGACCTTTTCTCAGCTTGAAGCTACTTTTAAAATCTGAAGGTCTGGACCAAAAGAAGAGGAATATCAGGTTGGAGTCAAGATGACCAATGAGGTGAGAGTAAAGACTAACTCCAAAGATGGCTTCACTGAAGAGAGAGCATTTTAAGAATAAAGAAAAATCTTGTCAGAAGATCCCAGAACAGTTTTAATTTTCATTAGCAGTTAATAGAGTTATTCATGCAGAAGTGTGTGCAACAGAACACTGCTCTTTTTTATTTTATTTGTACTTTTTGGCCTGGGATTTGGGTTTTAAATGGACATTATCTGTACCAGCTTCATTAAAATAAACAAAATGTTTGTAAAAATCTTACTAATGTTCCATTTTATTTTTATTGTATAGAAAGAAAAAAATGGCTGAAACAAGATTTTCTTGCATAATACTGGAAATTATTGTTTGTATATGGAACAAATAAATTTTTTTTTCAGTACTGTACAGTGATGATTGTGACTTTGAAGCACTGAAAGTTACTGAAGTGCCTTCTGAATTAAGGATTTAATTAAGGCCACAATACCTTCTTAAATGCTCAGTGTTCTGTGTGTGTTTTTAAAACTTGATATTTCTGTATGGTGCATATATATGACACTTATCCAGTCATGTTGAATAAATGGGCACATAAAAAAAAAAAATCCATACACAGATGTCAGCAGCTTTATCTCTAATAGCCCCAAACTGGAAACATCCAGAAGTCCTCCAATGGGGGTATGGTTAAACTGTGGTACATCTATAACACTTGGCTGTAAAAGGGAATGAACTATTGTTACAGGCAACTGATGATTCTCCAGAGAATTATGCTGAGTGAAAAAAAAAAAGCGCCAATCCCACAAGGTTACATACTGTATAAGTCTATTTACATAACATTCTTGAAATGACAAAATTATATAAATGGAGGACAGATGAGTGCTTGCCAGGAGTAGGGTAAGAAGTGGGAGGGAAGTGGGTGTGGCTCTAAAAGGGATCCCTGTGGTGATGGCAGCATTGTATCTTGACCATATCTCTGTCAATCCCCTGGCTGTGAGATTGCATTATAGTTTTGCAAGATGTTAGCATTGGAGAAAACTGAGTACAGCACACACAGGATCTCATATGTAGAATGTACTAATTATCTCAAAATAATAAACTTTTTTTAAAAAGTATATTTTATTGATTTTTTACAGAGAGGAAGGGAGAGAGATAGAGATCTAGAAACGTCAATGAGAGAGAAACATTGACCAGCTGCCTCTTGCACACCCCCTACTGGGGATGTGCCCGCAACCAATGTACATGTCCCTGACCAGAATCGAACCTGGGACCTTTCAGTCCACAGACCGATGCTCTACCACTGAGCCAAACTGGTTTCGGCTCAAAATAATAAACTTAATTAAAAGCAAATGGAGGCACCATGTTAAGCTACAAACTGCCCTGAATAAGGTATAATCTCTGCTTTAGAGGAGCTCACCGTCTATTTCATGAGGAGCTGGGCACACACACACAATGTTTCCAGTTTGGGACTTTCTATCATTCTCCACCCTTGTTTTTGGTAGAAAACTTCCTCCTGTTCCCCTGTTTGTCCCTCACCACCCATTGGATGTGATCAGGATCAGCTGCGTTAAGTTGCAGGGCCCCAAGCAAAATGAAAATGCAAGGGTCCTTGTTCAAAAATTATTAAGAATTTTGAGAGGGCAACAGCAGAGCATTCTGAGCTCAGAGACCTGTGTGACTTCACGGTCACACTCTTGAGATGCTGGCCCCACTTGTGATTCTGGTAGAGTTGCCAATCACCCTCCCACCTCCCTTGGCAGGAGATGGTCCCAAATTATCCAAGGGTGGCCATTCGTATCTCATTACCCTGGTTACTTCTACTGGAATCCTTTCAGGGAAGTCATATCTAATGAAGCTGGGAAAGAAGGAACTTTCCCCTCTCTGGGATGAGTTGATTATTGAACAGACTAGAGGCCCAGTGCACAAAATTCATGCACTTTGGGGGACACACACACACACACACACACACACTCTCAGCCAGGCTCATGCCCTCTTCCAGCCCAGGATCCCTTTGGGGAGGTCCAACGGACATCTTCAGCCCTGCCATGGAGGTGGGGGAGGCTACTGTCACTGCAGCTGCACTCACAAGCCGTGAGCCAGGCTTCTGGCTGAGCAGTGCTTTCCCCCTCCCGCCCCCTCTGTGGGAATGCACTGACTACCTGGGGGCAGCTCCTGCTTTGAGCGTCTGCTCCCTAGTGGTCAGTGTGCATCACAGCAACCAGTCATTCCACAGTTCGGTCGGTTTGCATATTAGCCTTTTATTATATAGAATGGTCTTTGGTTGACCGACCCATGATCAGAGCCAGGGAAGGACACAGGAAGCTGGTCTGCAGGTGAGGGACCGCGGGAGGGCTCCAGGGCATGTCCGGCCCATCTTGCTCAGTCCTAATTGTCTGGACCCCAGCAGCAAGCTAACCTACTGGTCGGAGCATCTGCCCCTTGGTGGTCAGTGCAAGTCATAGCAAACGGTTGAGTGGCCTTAGCGTATCATTTGCATATTATGCTTTGATTGAACAGATGACCAGATCACAGACACTTAGCACATTAGGCTTTTATTATATAGGATGTTTATTGGGTACCCACCATGTGCCAGGCCCGGTCCTGCAAGTAGGAGTTACAATGGTGAACAAAATGTGTACAGATAGTCGTAGGCTCTCCTCATGTAGTTTATGTCCTACAGATAAAGGCAGACAACAGTATTGACGATAGATTGGGTTAAATGCAAAATCAAAGAAAAAGTGGAGATGCTATGAGCCAGATACATGATTCTTTTAAAAAATATATATATTTTATTGATTTTGTACAGAAAGGAAGGGAGAGAGATAGAGAGCTAGAAACATCGATGAGAGAGAGTCATCGATCAGCTGCCTCTTGCACAACCCCCACTGGGGATGTGCCTGCAACCAAGGTACCTGCCCTTGACCGGAATTGAACCCGGGACCCTTCAGTCAGCAGGCAGACGCTCTATCCACTGAGCCAAACTGGTTTCGGCAGATACATATGATTCTTATTCTATAAGCAAGGAACATATAGGTAAGAGAAAGTTAAGAAAATTATCTTAATGTGAGAGAGCTGGTACATGGCCAAGGGGGGATTCTAACCCAGGTGTGTCTGACACCAGCTGCGCCATGGCAGGCAGGATCACTGAAAATTGGAGTGCTCACTTGCAGAAGTTGGGAAATAGTAGAGTGCAGTAGGGCTGTTCAGGGCTCATGTGCCGAGTTGTAGCTCAATTTAAATTCTGGCTTGGACAAATTACTTGAACTTTTGAAAGTATTGCTCTTCTCATTTATAAAACAAGGTGTGAGCCCGGCCTGCATGACTCAGTGGTTGAGCATCAACCTATGAACCAGGTGGTCATGGTTCGATTCCCAGTCAGGGCACATGCCTGATCAATGGTTCTCTTATCATTGATATTTCTCTCTCTCTCTCCATTCCTCTCTGAAATCAATAAAAATAAGTTTAAAAATAAATAAATGATAAAAATTGTTGCTGCAGAGATTAAATGAGATAATGCACTCTGATGACTTAATGAGAATTCAGTGAGTGTTAGGTTTACAAATCAGTTTCAAATTCAAGAAGCTGAATTCCTTCCAGATCTAATCACGATATGACGTTGGGTGAGTTGCATGCTCAGGGAGCCTATTTTCCTCACATGTACAATGAGGTTAGTGACGTGGCTCACAGACTCAACATAAGCGAAGGTGAGACAATAATGAAAATGAAAGTGCTATAATGTGTGGGCAATTTCATTATAAAACTCAAGGGGTGTCTTCTCTGACCAATGAGCTCAACTCCCTTCACAAATGCAGCCCATGCTTCCTCCTTCGTGTCATCCCTGTAACTGTTATGACATCGTATCCTCAGTTTTGTAATTATTTTTTAAAAATATATTTTTATTGATTTCAGAGAGATAGAGAGAGGGAGAAAGAGAGAAAAATCAAGGATGAATCATTGATCGGCTGTCTCCTGCATGCCCCACTCTGGGAATGGAGCCCACAACCCAGGCATGTGCCCTGACTGGGAATCAAACTGTGACCTCCTGGTTCATAGGTTGATGCTCAACCACTGAGCCATACCGGCCGGGCGCTATCATGATTTTGTGACAGCAGTTAATGAACACTCTGTAAAATAAAATACTTTGTAAATAAAAATATCCTCAAAGTTGAAGCAGTAAACTCTAGATTTGAAAGTAACACACATGTGCCATACAGTTTTATGATTTATTTTTTAAATGGCAATAACAAATACTTTCCCCTTGATGGGGAATGCGATAACTATTTTCAATGTAAAGGGCCTTAAAAGTAACAGCGTTTTATCCAAGTTGAATTTATATAATTGCACAAAAGTCATACAAAGCATTAAGAAATGCTCACAGACTACAGTTCTCTTAGATCTTCATGAGCACACCCCAAGAGGCCTTGAGTTATGGGGACCCCTGATCCAAACATCCCCCAAGCTCCTCTGTGACAGAGGCCGAGGTCAGAAGAGCAGCCAGAACCCAGCAGCTTTGTGACAATGGAATTCTGCTGTAATGATAGAGTTTCATGAGGTATTCACTTCCTCATTTTATTAAGGGCATAAAACACTTTACCTTGAAGTATATTTGCCCAGACTTAAAACTTAACCCTAACAACTTAAATTTAAAAAATTAACCAAACCATAAAACCTCGTCCATGCACAATCCTGGGCCAATACATACACACACAGTCACATTGTCATTCAGTTTCCAACACACACACACGTCACACTGTCATCTATTATATGCCAGTGGGGGGGTTGGCAGAGGGTCTTACTCCGATGGCTTTATTGGTAGCAATTGTTGGAAACTGTGTTACAAAGGACTGAGGTCATACATGGGCCGAGGGGACAGTCACTCTGCTTGTGACCTCTGGCATGGGTACGGGAGAGGGAGAAGCAGATCTCATGCGCCATATTTTTAATTTACTAAGAAAGCTTAAGAGGGCATTGGTTACATAAATTTAAAAAAATTGTTAACTCAATATTTCTAAATTAGTTATGATGTCTTTAACTAAGAATTTGTTTCACAGACTTTTTCACCCAAGATGTTTTTATTGATTTGAGGAGAGAAACATAGACCAGTTGCCTCCTGTACATGCCCTGATTGGGGATCAACTTGCAACCTAGGTATGTGCCTTGACTAAGAATGGAACTGCAACACTATTTTTAAAAATATATATTTTATTAATTTTTTACAGAGAGGAGGAGAGGGATAGAGAGCTAGAAACGTCGATGAGAGAGAAACATCGACCAGCTGCCTCTTGCACATCCCCTCCCGGAATCGAACCCGGGACCTTTCAGTCCGCAGACCAACACTCTACCACTGAGCCAAACCGGTTTCGGCTGCAATCCTATTTTTTTGATGTATGGGATGACATTCCAACTAACTGAGCCACCAACCAGCAGGGCTGTTTCATGGATCTTAATCTCAATTAAGATATGTCTGTTAGGAGTTTTCTCTTTCCAACCTTATAAAAATCAGTAAGAAAATTATGTTTTGAAAGAAGACCCACACCAAGAATTTGGAGTCACCATCAGAAGTAGCTTCCTAATTTGGATGTTATGACTATGGATAGGGTGAATTCTTACTCCACAGTCCATTTCCTGATTATGGGGGGAAACAGTAATTCCTGAAGTAAACACAGAAAAGTATGTGGCAGCTCTGGCCGGTTTGGCTCAGGGTTGGAGTGTTGGTCTGGGTACAGAGGGCCTGGGTTCAATTCCCAGTTAAGGGCATATACCTAGGTTGCAGACCAGGACCCGGCCAGTCCAGGTCAAAGTGTGTGCAGGAGACAACTGATCACTGTGTCTCTCTCACATCAATGTTTCTCTTTCTCTCTCTCTCCCCCTTCTCTCCCACTCTAAGAACCGAGGTGAGGATTAATAAAAAACAACAAAGTATGTGGCAGAGAGAACTAGATATGCTTCCTTCACTTAGATGGTATTGTTAAGGATCCAATCTCATCTATTCAGTTCAGGGAGAAAAATCCCAGTGGAACATTTGAAAGATTTTTTGTTTTGTTATATTTTTATTGATTTCAGAGAGGAAGGGAGAGATAGAAACATCAATGATGAGAGAGAATCACTGATTGGCTGCCTCCTGCACACCCCTTACTGGGGATCAAGCCCGCAACCTGGCATGTGCCCTTGACTGGAATTGAACCTGGGACCCTTCAGTCCGCAGGCCGATGCTCTATTCACTGAGCCAAACTGGCTGGGACTGAAAGATTTTTTAAAATTAAGGTTTTCATTGTAGGAGAGAGCCTGGTATATATATTAGGTATTTATTGTGCTTCATGAAGGGAAATGTGGGGTGTGTCTGTGGTGTGGCGAAGAATGGGTGAAGTCCCTGTACTGTGCACGGTTATCTGCGCACAGATCCTGGGTCTGTCTGACAGCCCGTAAGACACTGCTCTCAGATGTTCACTATGTCATCGCGTGATGGTTCCGATACCCTGAATCAAATGTCTAGCTGCGGTGGTTAAACTGGGACTCAAAGGACAATACTCTTGGATCAGGGACTCCACAACAGCCGTTCTAACTACTCACAACACCTGCAGTTTCCCTGGAATCTAACTGGAAGGACTGTTTCATGTCCAAGTACACCGCTGCACGTAACAGCTGCCTCAGTGGTTAGCTAAAACGGTGAAGACCACAGGAAAGGACTTAAAGAAGAAAAAGAAAGACCTTCTTTCCAGATGGTGAATGAACAAAAAAAACCAAACCAACCCAAGGGCCGTGAGGGCCACAGAGGCCACGCTGCGGATCCACTGTAAGTCTGCTTCTTTGGGAAAGGATCACAGGACTGAGGCTGGCAGGAGGGCAGGCACGGATGACGACTCCAGCTGTGCAGCCATCCCTTCCCACAGCTGCTGAGACACGGTGAGCAAAGCAAGCACTGAGGATGATGCTGTCAGGACACGGTCTCCATCACTTCGGTTTATATTATCTTTGTCTCCGGATGAAGCCTCTGTCTGCCTGCTTTGAGCTCTGCACTGTGGCATAAGACAGGCAAGCGTGGATCACCGCAGGGAGTGGTAATCCCTGAGCCTGTGCTTTGCTAATACAAACATTTTCTTAAAAACCTCAAATTTATACTTCAACAATCAGCATGTTTTATACGTCTTGGGCTCATACCCAACTTTAAGAGGGGGACAGACTAGTTCTTAAAAGCTCCCCTTTTTGACAGAAGGTCCCAAATAATCATCTAGCCGTTCGCTTTGCAAACTTGTACAACGAGTCCCTGCACAATCGTGTCCAATGCAGGGCTGAGAGACATAGGACACTTCCAGTGCTCACATCAGAGAAAGAAAAGGACCTTGGCTGTTTCTAGGCACTCAGTGGCACAGGCGTGTTTCGTTTTTGTTAGCACTAGAAGAAATCTCAGGCCGATAACAAGGGGAGCTCTCTGCAAACTGGGTGGCCATTTTAACTGGAGAAGTAGGGGACCTGCCCTCGGCCAGGGCAGCAGCTTCAAGGATGTGCTGTGAGGAGCAGTGCACTAAGAGTCTCCACAGGAAGCGTGGGTGTGGAGGACAGGATTGTCTTTAGACTGAGAACAGATGGATGGAGGGCTGGATCTGTAGCAGATGCACATATACTTTTCTTTCTCTTCCATGCCCTTCCTTATCAAGAATCTCAATACTTTCCAGGCCCTAGGCAACCAAGTAGCAAGAAAGGCTCAGAGCTGTTTTGTCTGATACACTGTTGCTGAAGGGCGGGACTGCGGGGCCCCAGTGCCCACGAGGCTCCGTAGTCGTGCAGGCTCTGGAATAGGTCGGAACCAGCATGGAAGGCTTACAAGGGCTGCCTCACACAATCACTGGTTTTTAGTGTAATATGAGCATCACACAGGTATCTTATGATATTAACTGGATCTGAGCAAAAGCACTGCAAGGAAAAGACCCGGAAAGGAGAGAGTTCTGTACATTTATATGTGTTAACTGGAATGCATGAACATATGTAACCAAGATCTACCTTTCTGTTTAAAAGTTAAACTCGCCTGGGCCATTAATTCTATAAAATAATGTAACTAAAGTTGCAGTAACATACAGTCCAAAAATTCAATTTTCTAGGTTTCTAGTTACTTAAAACAAAGAAAAGACCACACACTCAATCACATACATTCACACAGGCCCCACACTCCCAAGTGAAACACACACATAAATGCACCCCCACAGACAGCACTCAGAAAGCGCAGGTGCACAGGTGCCCGTGCACACCCTTGAACTTGAGGCGCATGTGGGCTGCAATGAGGGTCAAGAGGCTCTGCTGCAGATCTGCTCGATGTCGCTGATCTCTTTGGGACAATCTGCGGAAAGGACGAGCGGTGAGTCCTGCGTCACCACTACGTCATCCTCGATCCGCACACCAAGACCACGGAACTTCTCTGGGGCATCCCTGTCATCCTCTGGGATATAGATGCCTGAGGAGCAGGAAAAAGAATGTGCTGTTCATACATGGCAGTAACGGGGTGATTTGGGGCAGGTAAGTTAACCTCTCTGTTACAGTCCATCTATAAAGCTAGGATCTTAACAGTATCCACTAGAGTCTGGAGATTACATGAGATAATACAGACGAAAGTGTCTAGTATAATGGTCAATAAATGTTGACTATCATTATTATAACTATTATTATGGTTATTTTGTACTAGAGGCCTAATGTACGGGTGGGGTCTCTCTGGGTGGCTGCAAGGCTCAGGCTGAAACCCACAGTCCAATGCCCCCTGCAGCTCCCACCATCCCGGCCCCACTGCCTACCACGGGCCGGTGCCCAATCAGTCCCTTGCCAGCCCTGAGCCCTGCGTCTGGCATCCTCCCATGGGGAGTGGCCTGCGGGATCGGGCTCACCGGCTCTCTGGGGTCCTGGGTTGTGAGAGGAAGCAGGCCAGGCTGAGGGACCCCACCGGTGCAAGATGGGGCTGGGGAGGGACTCCAGAGCGTGTCTGGACCATCTCACTTAGTCCCGATCGGCTGGAACCCAGTAGCAAGCTAATCTACCCATCAGAGCATCTGCTCCCTGGTGGTCAGTGCACACCATAGTGACTGGTCAACCAGTCAACTGTCTGCCCCCTGGTGGTCAGTGCATGTCATAGCAAATGGCTGAGCAACCTTAGCATATCATTAGCATATTATACTTTGATTGGTTGTTTGGTTGTTCTGCCATTTGGACTATTTATATATTACCCTTTTATTATATAGGATAGTAGACTACAGGCTCCATATGGTAATGCTGGTCATGATTCTGTCATATTCTAGTGGCTCAAGCAGGCCACTAAAGTTACTTAAACTGTGAGTATGTTGGCACATGCTGGGAACCAGTAGATTATATAAATGTATTCTTTTTTTGCCTAATAGTCCCCTGGAAAAAGGGAACTTTGCTAAAATAAAGACATAAGATATTTGAAAACATATTTAAATATCACTTATTTAGATTAGCCTGAACAATCAGAAGCTGTAGAAATACTCAAATAAGCCCTCTCAATAAGCCATAAATATAAAGTAAAAAAATAAAATAAAATAAAAAGACTTTAATAAACATTTGGAAAATTGTAAGAGCCCAAGATACCCTCTGTAATCATGAAGTCAGACAGATTCACCCTCTGGTCTGTGATAAAAAGGAAGAATTTGTAGTCAAAGTCTAAGGAGGCACCCACGCACTGACTAGACTGGACTAAGTGGTATGAGGCCAGAGAGTAATGTTTACCTGGATTCAAAGGGTGGTATGAAAGATGTGTCCCAGCTAGCATTACTTAATTTAGAGATAAAAAACACTTGACATCTAAGAATGAGATCTGTTTTCACTACAAATAACAGACTCCTGCCATAGCAATCTTGCCCCTCATCATGGTGTCTGCCTTCCCACCTGACACTATTACGTGTCCCGGGGGTTAGAGCTGCTAATGCTCCATCCCCTTACCTGGCTCCACTGTGATCACCATGCCGGGCTGCAGAGGGAGGGAGCGGGGCATGTCCGGAGTGTCATGGACGTCCATCCCCAGGTAGTGGCCCACGTGATGCGGGCAGTATTTTCGAGCAGCCTGAAAAAGGGGATTGCCGCAGCATTGTTAGAGCAACGGTCCCTGAGGGGAAGTGGGGCATGTAAGTCAGTGAGGCAGGTGTTACCAGCTCCCCGTGCTTCGGCCACTGTTTAATCTGTCCTAGGCCACTGACAGAGACCTGATCCCTGCCACCTCTCGGATGAAATTCTGCCACTGCATCCTAACTAATCCACATTTCCATTCTCAGTATTTAATATACTACACGCATGCCAACTTAGGTAAACCCAGCAACGACTGTGCCTAATGAAAATCTCTTTTCTTGAAAGAGGGCGATTATGTTAGAATAGTTCTCTTTTCAATGTTCACATGTCCCTCTCAGGAAGTCTACTCTGGAGACCCCAATATCTCACAGCAACTTGTGGAGCAGCTGAAACATCAATAACACTGCAATTACTAGGCATTTACTGGCCTGGATGTTGCTATCCGTTAATTAGAGATTTGCTGGCCTGAGCAGGAGACTTTATAGCTTCTTTCCTATTGATAAAAGCAGCCCTGACAGCCTAACCTTGGTGATGGGAGATGCTTTAATAGTCTGTTTGGCTTGACCACCCGGCATTTTAACTTAAAGCTGAGGCTTGCCGAAACCGGTTTGGCTCAGTGGTAGAGCATCGGTCTGTGGACTGAAAGGTCCCAGGTTCGATTCTGGTCAAGGGCATGTACCTTGGTTGTGGACACATCCCCGGTAGGGGGCATGCAAGAGGCAGCTGGTCGATGTTTCTCTCTCATCGACGTTTCTAGCTCTCTATCTCTCTCCCTTCCTCTCTGTAAAAAATCAATAAAAATATATTAAAAAAAAAAAAAAAAAAAGCCGAGGCTTTACAGTTTTACTGAATAATACCATTACATTTGGATGCGGATGAAATTCACTAAAGACATGCCCTTGAGGATACCGTTCAAGTCTCAACAGTGTCACTGAAGCAACAAACACCCTCCCCTTCGACCTCTGACTTTTCAAAATTACCCCAGAAGAATCAAGGTTAACCTCTCGTCCTTTTTGTGTTCTTTTCCACCCTCTGCACCAGACTTCATTTTATGTCCGCTGGTGACTGAGCCAGTCCCGCACTACGCAGTAAGCAATGAACCAGAATGTGCTGCCACCTTCTGGGAGAAATAAGTACTGACTCCTTTTGGTTGTAATCCCGGTTCAATGTAAATCCCTTTTTCGGTGAAGAATCCTAAAGACCATTTCTAAATCTAATTCGCTTTAATAAGAACCGAGCAGCATGCAAGGTGTTCTTGAGAAGTGAGTCAAAAGAAGTGCGGTACCCTCAAGGGGTTATTTTCCTTCATGTTATTCAGGAACCCCAGCTCTTTGAGCTTCTGCCCTGTCAGGGTCAGCATTATGCTGTAGATGTTTTCCAGGCTTGTTCCGGGGGAGCAGAGGGTCAGACAATCTCTCTGGATCTCTAGGACAGCTTCGTAGAGCTCTGCTTGAGGTGCCGTAAACCTGGGGACAGGAAAACCAAAGATCGCAAATCTGGAACTGACTGATGTTCAGGAAGTTTGTGACAAGAAAATAATTCTGAGATGCTATAAATCAAATTACAGCAGTGGGAGGGTGAGAGGAAGGGGCAGGAGGAGTTAACCAGTTAACAGCTTCGTGCCAACTAACGAAGACCGCTCATATTTGGATGCATGTTAGAGCTCTCCATCAGCCCCAGGGTCTATGAGCTGAACACCAGCCACCACGCAGCCAGTACGTGCATGAACTTTTAGGACTGTTGCCTGCAACCAATCAAAAGGAGTAAATAGCCGAGACCGGTTTGGCTCAGTGGATAGAGCATCAGCCTGCGGACTGAAGGGTCCCAGGTTCGATTCCAGTCAAGGGCATGTACCTTGGTTGCGGGCACATCCCCATGGGGGGGGTGCAAGAGGCAGCTGATCCATGTTTCTCTCTCATCGATGTTTCTAACTCTCTCTCTCCCTTCCTCTGTAAAAAAAAAAAAAAAAAAAAAAAAAAAAAAATCAATAAAATATATTTTAAAAAAAAGAGTAAATATTTTTTTCAGACTGTGCCCCTATCCTAAAATGCCCTCCTGCACCCCAATCCTTATCTGTAGCCAATGTAATCTTTCAAAACAACTAACATCTTTCTTCCCCAAAACAGAATGTGTAAGAGCGCCTGCCAACTCCAGGGTGGCGAACGTCCTGCCTTCTCCACCGCGCCCTGCTGCTGGTGGTTTAGACTCCACGCCCCAGGGCCTGGTCCTTTGCTGGCTAGGATTTAAGAATTTTTTTAAAAAGCAAGCAAAAATGGTCAGCTGTGGGATTAGGTTTTGTTTAACAGTTGCTTCTCAGTTTCATTAGAAAAACTCCAAGGCGATGATGATGCGGCATGGCAGATATTTAATCATACCGGCAGAGCGTCACTGACAGGACCTTAATCATACCCTAGGTGCTCAACAGGAAGAGCAACAACCCTTCAAACTGGGGCAGAAAGAGTCCTTCAGACAGTCAGCAGACGTACATGAGGTGAGGCTAGAGGATGAACCCAGCCCTGAATGCAGTCAGAGGGCCAGACCAGAGCATTCTTGATCCTTTCCTTTTTTTAAATTTTTATTTATTTAATTTAATTTTATATTTTAATGGTTTTTTACCGAGAGGTAGGGAGAGAGATAGTTAGAAACATCAATGAGAGAGATCAGCTGCCTCCTGCACACTCCCTACTGGGGATGTGTCCACAACCAAGGTACATGCCCTTAACAGGAATCAAACCTGGGACCTAAACAGATAGATCTATGTAAACAAAATAAAAAGCCCAGAAATAAATTAAAAAACAAAACAAAACAAAAAAAAAACCTGGGACCTTTCAGTCGGCAGGCCGACACTCTACCGCTGAGCCAAACCAGTTTTGGCCCAGGTTCAAATTTATCAACATTATGTTTATACCCATACTCCATGACACCACAGTACTAGTACATATCTTTAGAGCTTTTTAAAACGTAAATTTTACAAACACTGGAATGCACAAATCTGAGTTGTGCAATTCTGAACGATCCTGATGAAAGCTAGGGACACTGACCCTAAATTCTGTCGAGTCTTTGCTGGCAGAAGCAGCCCTTCTGCCGCCATCTGAGACTGATCTAGTTTGGACTGAGAACCTACAGGTTCTCCCCTTAGGTAGTTGCCTTGGTACTTGTGTCTGGACTTTAACTAGATTGTACTCCTGCAGGCCCCAGAAGGTTAGGCACAAAATGTGACCCACAGGAAGTGCATGATAATCCAAAGAGAACTGCATGATTTTTCCTAATTAAATAGATAAAAATCTGAGAATGTATGTGGAAATGGACAGTAATGTGTGGGATAATTGGAAGGAACACAAAGTTGGATCAGGTTGAATTTATTGATATACACTGAATGGCCAAATTATGATAATCTCTGAATGCATAATAATCTGGCCACTCAGTGTATATTCTATATAATAAATGGCTAATATGCAAATTGTCCCCTTGACCAGGAGTTTGACCAGCAGGCAGGCCAGTCAATTGCCCATGGCCCCTGCCCCTGGCCAGGCTGGCCAGACCCACCCATGCACAAATTCATGCATCGGGCCTCTAATATATATATATATATACACACACACTGAGTAGCCAGATTATGCATTCAGAGATCATAATAATCTGGCCACTCAGTGTCTATCCACAAAGCAGAGATTCTGGATTCAATGTTATAGCTCAAGGGTTCAAAAAGGCGCCAACAGTTAACTTGGTTGGTTGGCTGAAACATGGGCCATAAGGTATCCTATACTAAATGAATTCAAATGCCAGAACTGCCTTGTGTACTGGAGAAAGAATTCTGCCTCAAGACTGCAACATCAACTTTTGAGTGAGTTTCTAGCCAGCCCTACAAATGCGTGAGTCAATTCCTTAAATGCATCAATCATTATCAATCAATCTACCTACCAATCTACATACATATGTATGTGCACATATATGTACGTGTGTGAATGTTAACTAGGTGTTTCTAGGTGCCTGATCCTGTGACGATGTCTTAAAGAAATAATCAGGAGTACCCAGCTGGCGTAGCTCAGGGGTTGAGCGTCAACCTATGAACCAGGAGGTCACGGTTCAATTCCCGGTCAGGGCACATGCCCAGGTTGCAGGCTTGGTCCCAGGGTGGGGTCTACAGGAGGCAACGTTCAAAGATTTTTTTCTCATCCTTGTTGTTTCTGTCTCTCTCTCCCTCTCCCTTCCTCTCTGAAATCAGTAAAAAAATATTAAAAAGAAAAAATCAGCAGCTTTGCCAAGGCAGTTAACCTGAGCAAAAGGGGACCTGTCTACCTTGTTAGCCATTTACTCCAAATATGACCACACTCCAGAGAAGCAGTGGGATCTGCAAAAGACGTACCTGCCATTGACAGGCCAGGTACGGGTGATGTCACTCACATAGCAAGAAGATTCACAACCTCCATCCAGCAGCACCATTTCCCCATCCTGGAAAAGAGCAAAACAGGTCAAAGTCGGTGACCCTGGGATTGTCAGTTATTTCTTCTTTTAACTTAAACCCTTTGTGCATATATCTTTATTTATTTATTTATTTATTTATTTTTATTTATATTTATATCTACACACACACACACACACACACACACACACACACACACACAAAAGGCCTGGAGCATGGATTCATGCACAGGTGGGGTTCCTCGGCCTGGCCTGTGGGGATTGGGCCAAAACCGGCTCTCCCACATCCCCTGAGGGGTCCCGGAATCAGGTTTCCTCCTCTCTGGTTCCAGGTGTGTTACTTAAGAACCGCAGTGCCAAGTCATGGCAGCTCAGCAGCTCCTGTGTTGAGCATCTGCCCCCTGATGGTCAGTGCACATCATAGCTACCGAACGGTCAGCATATCAGCCAGTGGCTTAGGCTTTTATATACTCCTACTGGAGATGTGCCTGAAACCAAGGTACATGCCCTTGACCAGAATCGAACCTGGGACCCTTCAGTCCGCAGGCCGATGTTCTATCCACTGAGCCAAACCGGTTTTGGCAGTATTCATTCTTAAAATCTGCCTGGCCAGTGTTGCTCAGTGGTTGAGCACAGATCCATGCACTAGGTTCCATTCTGGGTGAATGTACAAGCACAGATTGTGGGCTCAGTCCCCAGTGAGGGCAGCCAATCCATGTTGATATTTCTCTCTCATCAATGTTTCTATATCTCTCGCCCTCTCCTCTCCTCTCCTAGTCAATAAAAACATAAAAAAAAGAAAAAAAGTTCGTCTGCTCCCATATGCTTATCCACTGCAGCTACCAGTCCTTAGGGGAGGAGTGCTATAAAAAAATTATGCTATTAGTAGTGCAGAGGCTTTAGGTAGAATATTTGCCTCTGCACTACTAATAGCATAATTTTTAAAAGTTTATTTTCCTCACCTATTGAACAGGCATGTTAATAACTGTTCCTATCTCATAGTGTTAACGTGAGGATCAAATGAGATAATGTCTGTAAAAGCATTTTGTTAAAGCTGAAAATTAGGGGACCCCAAAGTTAGTGAGTTTCCTACTAGGGTCGTGGTTGGCAAATCGCGGCTCGTGAGCCACATGCGGCTCTTTGGCCCCTTGAGTGTGGCTCTTCCACAAAATACCACGGCCTGGGCGAGTCTATTTTGAAGAAGTGGCGTTAGAAGAAGTTTAAGTTTAAAAAATGTGGCTCTCCAAAGAAATTTCCATCGTTGTGCTGTTGCTATTTGGCTCTGTTGACTAATGAGTTTGCCGACCGCTGTCCTAGGGCATCTGGACCCAGAGGAAGCAGCGCCGATGGGTAGTACTGTACCTTGATGAGCTGATTGTTCTTCACATAGTGCAACGTGTTGGACCGATTACCGCCAGCAACCACGGGTGGGTAGGCTAAGATTTCTGCTCCCCGGGCTCGGCATTCAAATTCAAACTGAAAAAAAACACAGCAAAGTGTGACTGTAAGTGTGACTGAAGAAAGGATTTCTTTAGGGCTGTCCCAGCCCAGGCTCTCCTCAACAGCACACACCTCCATTTAAGTTACTACTGAAAACTATTCATCATACTAACAAAACTTTTCGTGCTTAATTTCAGGCCACTTTTAGTCTCACCCAGGCCTGTTATTCAATCCTATGACTAAATCTGTTCTTTTCTTGTGAGTACTCTAAATTTCTGATTTTCAAATTAAGTCCAGAGAGGACATAGAAAACCTATGATCAAGGGAAAACAAAAAGATAACAGTTATGTAAAATTATTGTTTATTGATTCTTATTTAGATAAACACTGGAATATGGCTTGCATTTTTTAACAACAGCTCTAAATGACTAATGTCAAATAGCTACTGACCTACAAATAAAAATATGCTAGGCCGAGATCGGTTTGGCTCAGTGGATATACCGTCAGCCTACGGACTGAAAGGTCCTGGGTTCGATTCTGGTCAAGGGCATGTACCTTGGTTGCGGGTGCAAGAGGCAACTGATCAATGTTTCTCTCTCATCAGTGTTTCTAACTCTTTATCCCTCTCTCTTCCTCTCTGTAAAGAATCAATAAAATATTTTTTAAAAAATAACTCTATGAATTTCATTATGTCCTAGGATGGAGCTTGAGACTGGCATGTGCTGCTCTCTACAGCTCGACCTCAGTCTCTTCCTTTACATTGACTTAAACAGTACTAACCTTCTCATCTCACAGTTTTGTAAACTCCTTCTTCTTCAATAGCTCTACTCTGCGGATTTTCTTCATTTAACTGTTACTCCACATATTTTAGACTCACCTAATAAATTACTAGTCACATTTAAGAACCAAATCCTCTCCTGGCCTCTTCCATAAAAGCCAACCAGATGCCACCTGCAAACCAATGACATTACTTTACGCATGCCTCCCAAACATTTAAAGCTCACCTTAGCATAAAGAAAGCTCTCATTCACAGGCGCTTTGCTGGCAAACATGGTCTCTATGAAAGCCTGCAAATAGAATGGAGGATGGAAAGAAGTCTAATTTTAACGACTCTGCTTACTCAAATGTTCAAAGCACTCTCTCCTATAAAGACCAAGGGCAGACTTTATGACTGCCACTTCTTATTGCGGTTGTCTTATCACAGCATAGCCCATACTCTCAATTAGCACTTGACTTCTCACTTCACCAGGTGCTCTTTAAATGTTTGTATTTTGACATAAAATGGAATTTCTTTGCATTTCATCCCATGCTTCTTATAACAGGATACATCATGAGTAGATACTGTACAGCTTACGGGGAAGGGACAGTGGAGGGAAAAAGCAGGGAGGATTGCATGAGGGCCTGTGTGTAGGTCCACATGCAGCTAACGTGAGAGGAGGGAGCCTGTGACACTTGAGGCTGCTCAGTATGTGTCACGCACCTGTGGGAGAAGGAGATATAAAGCTTGAAGGGAAAGACAGAAGAGGCCAGATCATGAAAAGCCCTGCGTGAGCATGTTGAAATTTAATCCTAAAAACTACAAGGCGCCACCAAAGAACTTTATGAGAAGGGCAGTCAGATTTGAAGAGATCACTGTGGCTGGGATAGTTAGACGCAGGCAACAGCAGAAGCAAAGAGACAGCAAAGGGGTATTAGGTGTCCTACTGTGCTAGGCAGAGGCCGAAATAACACAGCTTGGTATGAAACCCAGGTCTGCCTTCCACTACACTCTCTGCCTCCTGAGAAGAGAACTTGGGGACCAGTTAATTAGATATAAGGTCTGGGAGAACAATTATGTAGGTAACTTCCATATTTCTATCTAAGGTAGCTGGGTTGATGTTATTAACCACGAAATAGAATACAAGAGAAGAGGCAGGTCTGGTAGAGCTGGCAGAGCACAAGTTTAGACAATTTCAGGAAATTCAGGTAGAAATGTCCAGGATATATGTTCAATCATAGGAGAGATCTGGCCTGGACAGGTCTGCCTCACCCTGCTTTTACTTCTGCCCATTCATTCTACCAATTCTCCTCTCTTGAAAGGTTACTTAACTCTAATGGCAAAGCCCTTTACTTATTGTACTAGATGTACCTAGTTAATAATGGTTAATAACGCCGATTTTTTCAATAGATGGAGTTACACATATGTATATATATATATATGTGATTTGATATGTATGCTATTTTGTATTGACAGCAAGCTTCAAAACTTCTTATGTCAAATTTGCTGAAGGTGTTAACATCATAGATATTTTTACACTCCAATTTCGTGCCAAAAAAAGAGCGATTGAAGGAAGTTTTAATTCATTACTTTATTTTGAAGAAAAAGTTATTGTATACTCCGGGAAGCTTATAGTGAACACATTCCATCTCAAGATACTTGTGAACGCTGGTTTATATGCTTAAAAGTGATTATTGCGATGTGAAAGACAAAGAACATCTAGGTCAACCAAAAAAGTTTAGAGACCAACAATTGCAAGCATTATTGGATGAAGATGCATGTCAAACTCAAAAACAACTTGCAGGAAGATTAAATGTTGCTCAGCTATTTCCGATCGTTTATAAGCCATGGGAAAAATTTTAAAGGAAGGAAAATTAGAGCCACATCAACTGAACAAAAGACAAATGGAAAACTGAAAAGTCACCAGTAAAATGTTGCTTCAAAGGCACAAAAAAAGTCTTTTTTGCATCAAATTGTGACTGGCGATGAAAAGTGGATTTGAGAATCCCATGTGCACAAAATCATGGGTTGATCCAGGTCAACCATCAACATCAACTGCAAGGCCAAATCATTTGATGGGATCAGGAAGGTGTGGTGTATTATGAGCTTCTAAAACCAGGTGAAACCATTAATACTGATGGCTACTGACAACAAATGATCAATCTATTGGCACATTCATGAAACCACCAGAATGTGTCAATAGACACAGCTAAGTAATTTTGCTTAACAATGACGCACCATTGCACACTTCAAAACCAGTTAAAGATCTTGCCTGGCTCACTGGATAGAGCGTTGGCTTGGGGACTGAAGGGTCCCGGGTTCGATTCCGGACAAGGGTATGTACCTTGGTTGCGGGCATATCCCCAGTAAGGGGTGTGCAAGAGGCAGCTGATCGATGACTCTCTCTCATCGATGTTTCTAACTCTCTATCTCTCTCCCTTCCTCTGTGTACAAAATCAATAAAATATATTAAAAAAAAAAAAAAAAAAAGATCTTGCCTGGGAAGTATTATATTAACCCACTCTCCAGACCTTGCTTCTTCAGATGACCACTTGCACACACACTTTCTGAGCAGCACTTCAAAACATAAGAAGTGGAAAGTTGGATCTCTGAATGTTTTGCCTCAAAACAAGAAAAGTTCTTTTGGGATGGTATCCACAAATTACCTAAAGATGGGGGAAATGTGTAGCTAGCGATGGACATTACTTTGAATACAGCACTTTTGATGTTTTTCTTGAAATTATCATGTTTTCATTGATTACAAAATCCACATTATTCACTGGTACACCTAGTAAACCAAATCAGACTACAAGAAAATCCAATTGATCCGTATCACAGAGACACAAATTATATTTGGCTTATTTCCCCAAAAGATAGGAAACTTTCATTTGGGCTGAAAAACATAAATATAGCATCATTATTCTTAAGAAAACTATTTTGCACAAATATTAAAAAATCTTACAGAATAATTCTACACCAGAATTGGGAATACTTAAAGACAATATTCAAATTTAATACTTCTAAATTTTGGCACACTTAAAATAGTCTCTCACTAGCAGGATGGACAAGTGACAGAAGTGCAGATCAGAATACTCCAGGTAAATTTGTAATTGATTTTACATCTTATGCAAAGACATCTGATCACTGATCACCAATTTCTTGGAGCCCTGAACATTATCCCAATCTATTCTTAGCTACTTCTCTTCCTTATTTTAAAAATCAATGATTTGGCCGGGACCAGTTTGGCTCAGTGGATAGAGCGTCGGCCTTTGGACTAAAAGGTCCCGGGTTCGATTCCGGTCAAGGGCATGTACCTTGGTTGTGGGCACATCCCCGGTGGGGGGTGTGCAAGAGGCAGCTGATCGATGATTCTCTCTCATCGATGTTTCTAACTCTCTATCCCTCTCTCTTCCTCTCTGTGAAAAATCAATAAAATATATTAAAAAAAAAAAATCAATGATTTGACGGAAAACAAAGACATATACTTTTCACATTCGTAATTAGTTGTAAGTTGTCTTTGTTGGTCTGGCCAAAGCTACAACACTGGACAGTGGACTAGACAGACTAGAGCACTTCCTGAGGAGTCACCAAATGGGGTAAAATGAAAGAGATGAGGGAATAGTTCAGGACAACAATGTTTAACTTTGGGAAGACTATAGGTGGAACTCAGAAAAATAGCCTTCAAATGTTTGTGTGCTATAATGCTATGAAGTTAATTCTACAATAGTAGGCCTGGAATTAACTTGAGCTGTTTTGTTCAAGGCCCTGCATGTAATGGGTCCTGGTTAAGGCCTGAAACGTACTGATTAATAGTGTTGAGAGGAGTTTCAGAGCAGTTTGCATCAGTTTGTCAGTATTGGCGACAGTGAGATTAATGGTTTGTACTTAGTTTCCACGAGAATTCCAAAAGGCTTTGTTGTTACATAGCAGGAATCTACCAATTCAGTCCAAACCAGAAAAATCTCTAGTTGAGATTCCATTTTGGGCTCCCTGGTTTCCAGGTGTTCCATGCAGGCATCTGTGGTTCCTGATCCAGGAGAGAAAATGCATCCTGTCCAGCTCTTACTGAGCATGGACAGGACAGCAGGAGCCTGAACTTGGCTTTTTGGTCCCTGGCTGTGAGACAGCCACTGGATGTGACTGGTATGCTTATGTTAATGCTGCTGCTATCCTGCACCCTTTCGTGTTAATTGTGGACTTGTAAGCATTGCCCTTTTGGGTCCTATGATTCTTTTTTAACCATCAAACTGCTACTATTATTGCCGTTATTATCAGGAAAGGAAATAAAATTAATTGACGTTGCTCCAAGGAGAAACAACTGAGACCATGGGTGAAAAATACAAGGCGGCAGATTTACTTTGCCTTGCAAGGTACTGAGCAAGTCTACAGATGTGTTCCCTCAATGTCAAGGTTGAAGCTGCATGTTCACCTGCCATGAAATTACTGCATTAAGTACACAACCTCAAAGTGCCCCCTGAACCCTAAGAGCTTAGATATTTTTCATCTGAAACAGCTTTTGCAGTAGGAATCACACCTGTGACGTCAGCTTTCCAGCAATCTGCATTCGTTCAATTTCAGCAGGAGATTTGATCAGCCGTAGGCGCTGTACCAGCTGCTGGACAGCCCGAACCTTGTTCTTGCTCTTGGTTTTGACCTCAGTCAGATGCTGCATATAGTCCGAGTGAAGCTGTGCATGAGCGGGCCTCATCCAGTCATACCAAAGGGTATTTGTCTCGGCTTAAAGTAAGATGCCAAAAAGTCAATTTAAAATAAGACTAACAGCAACAACAACAAATACCAACTGTCACGATGACTTAAATAAGAATCAAATATAAAAAGTGGTATGAAACTCTAACACAAACATGTCAAACTCGCAGCCGCAAATTTGACGTGCTGCTCTAAAGCAGTGGTTCGCAACCTTTCTACTGTCTCTCGATTCTTTAATACAGCTCCTCATGTTGTGGTGACCCCCAACCATAACATTATTTTCATTGCTACTTCATAACTGTGATGTTGCTGCTGTTATGAATCGTAATGTAAATATCTGATTTTCCGATGGTCTTAGGTGACTCTGCTAGCAGTTCTCAACCTGTGGGTTGGTAAAAGGAAGTTCTCTCAGGAGCAATTCTTCACGCCTACAGAAATGCTACAGTTGATAGTATGTGCTAATCCACTTTTATCCAGGAAATCTTTTCTTTCCCATCTGCTATTTTCATTATAGACTAGCACTATTCAACTTTTAACTATATTTGTCTGATATAAAAGAAGTAGGCGCATTATGAAAATGATTTCCATTTACACCAAGTCTCCATTTCTTTTTTAAAATTTATTTTGTTAAATAGAATTTATTGGGGTGACATGGTTAATATATTACAGGCCCGATGCATGAAATTCACACAAGGGGCTCAGCCCCCATCCACAGAGGCAGTTGGGGGCCTCTGCCACTCTGGCTTTGTCTGAAAGGATGTCCAGTTTAATTAGCATATTATGTTTTTATTATTATAGATTTCAGGTATGCAATTCTATAATACCTTCCTTTTATTTTTTTTCTGACAGTAGCTAATGAGCAACTGCATTCTCAAACTATGCCTAATGAATTGTATGTTTTATGTGTTTTAATAAAAATGTTTAAAATTGATTTTTAGAGAGAAAGGGAGAGGGAGAGAGAAACAGCAAAGTGAGAGTGAAACATCGATTGGCTACCTCTGGCACACCACCTACTGGGGATCAAGCCCACCGTATGCCCTAACTGGGAATCAAACCGGCAATCTTTTGGTAGACAGGACGATGCTCAACCAACTGAGCCAGGGCAAGGGACAAAGTAATTTCAAGAAATAGAATAGCTACAAAGAAAAAGTTTCTATGCCCACATTCATGAAGACTTTGAAGATTATGAAAATTCCACTAGCTTAGTTGGGTAATCATTTCTACAAAATAGAAAATATTTTATAAATGGAAAGAATTGAAACATATTAGGATGTGCATATTCAAGCAAGTATTTTCTTTCAAGGGAGTCTTTGTAGAAAACATATCCGTAAATTCCATGACTGTTGGAAACTACTTTGGAATTCTGTTTTACAAACTGACTTCAGAAATGGGTTATAAAAAAATAAAAATCAGACTAAAATTTTACACTCCTTGCCCTGGCAGTGTGGCTTAGCTGGCTGAGCGCCGTCCCATGCACTGAAAGGTTGCCAGTTCAATTCCTGGTCAGGGCTCTTGTGAACCTGATCTCCAGTAAGGGCATGCAGGAGGCAGCTAATTGATGTTTCACTCTCACATTGATGTTTCTATCTCTTAAAAAAAATAATAATAATTAAAAAAAAATTTTTTTCACAATCTTGCATTATTTTGTCTAAAACCAGTATTTTCCAACATAATCATCTATCTTATTTAACACATTTGGCTCTAAGTGACTTTGGATACTTTAAAAATGCTTCCAGAACTATAGGTTTATAAGAATCTCTAAGGATAGTTTATATTGTTATGTAGGTTCTGCAAAGTTCCAGAAAAGGAATCCCAAAATATTCTGAGTGATTATAATTTCACCAGAATTAATGTAGAGAAAGTGACTATTTTGAGAAGTATGAATTGTGTATGTAAATCACCTAAGAATCTTGTTAAAATGCAGATTCTGATTTAGTCAGTATGAAAGGGGGGCCTATGATTTTACATTTCCAACATCTACTATGCATTTGTAATTCTAATATGCATCACCAGGTGATTTTGATGCTTAGATCCTTTTTTGAGAATACTACTTCATTTTGAAGAATTGGCAAAAACAGTAAAAAGCAGTGATCAAAGGACAATAGACTGGTCAGTAATCTTAAAGAGTGGCCCACCCTCCACTTTAGGAGGAAATCCACTCTTTGGGATTTCACACGAGGACAGTTAACAGTCTATGTGAATGAATACTCCAGGAGCCTTAGCAAATGAATAAATGAAGTCTTTAAAGTAGACCGGTCTTGTGGTAAAAATTTATGTTCCTTTCTTGGTGCTTAAGAGAAACCACTGCTATGGATAATCATTTCAGGACATTAAGAACTGTGTCTGAATAGGTAAGGAAGGTCTCAATCCCGATCCAGCCTGTCATTTGAATTCTGCTCCCATTGGTTACCTTTCAGTTTCGAAACCAGATGTCGAAATTCGTCCAGCGTATAGGTTTCATCCACACCGGTTAGAGCTAAGGCTCCATCAGCGCCCGACCGAGGGCCGTCCCAAAGTTCCCGACTGGGGTCTCTCCGAGGCACGAAGAGCATGGCCTTGTGCGCGGGGAGCTGCTGGCCAGGGAGACTCTGGAGGACCAGAACGCTGTCGGGCTCCTGGAATCCACACAGATACAGGAAGTTGTTGTCTTGGTGGAAAGTGTAGGGGATGTCATTGCTCATGTAGTACGTAGGGTTGGATAGCAGAACCACTGTCTGTTCTGTCCCACTCTGCCCGTGTGCTTCCTTGTGGATCAGAGACATTAATTTGTGTCTGCGAAGTGCATATTCCACCTGGGTCAGTCCTGGAGTCACCTCCCCTAGAAATGACAAACAACAGTGATGCTTTGCATTTCTTTAGTGCCAAAGTATCCAAGGTAGTTTAATATTAGATAAAGATACCCAAGTTCATTTCAATTTAGGCCAAATCTCTTCATAGCATATGGAGAATTATGGGATAACCCAGGTTTAAATTTTCTATTCTATTGTAAAAATTTGAAAACACACACACACACAAAAAACAAGATAGTGAGAAATTGAGCAGCTGCTCCTGCACGCCCCCCACTGGGGATCGAGCTGGCAAGCCAGGTACGTGCCTTGACCAAGAATCGAACCAAACCTCCTGGTTCGTAGGTCAACGCCCAGTCACTGAGCCACAATGGCAGGGCCATATTATTTAGTGGTTGAGTGTGGACTCTGCTGGACTGTTGTGAATTGAAATCCTGGCTTAACAGCTGACTTGGGGAGAGCTACCAATCTGTTCTATGCCTCAGTTTCCTCATCTTTAAAATGGACATAATAAGCCCTGGCTGGGTGGCTCGGTTGGCGGGAGCATTGTCCCGTACACCAAAAGTTGGGTGTTTGATTCCCTTTCAGGAAATATACCTAGATTGTGGGTTGAATCCCTGTTTGGGGCACATATAGAGGTGAACCAGTGAGTTCTTAAATAAGTAGAACAACAAAAATCAATGTTTCTCTCTCTCTCTCTCAAATCAATAAATAAAAATTACAACAACAACAACAACAAAACACACAATTAAACAATCAATGAAATATGAACACCTGATTGTAAAACTTTTAAGACTTTGGAATTATTATCTTTAAATCATTCTAGAACCAATCTAGAATATATTTTTATTAATTTCAGAGAGAGGAAGGGAGGAGAGATAGAAACGATGAGAGAGAATAATTGATTGGCTACCTCCTGAACACTCCAATTGGGGATCAAGCCTGCATGTGTGTTACCTCCTGGTTCATAGGTTGACACTCAACCACTGAAAAATTTTACCTTCTTCTCTCCCTTCTCACTTACCCCAATGTCCAAAGCCTTTGTCTAGGAGAATAAAAATTAGGGTAGGCATCCCTTCTCCCTATAGCTGAGATGAACAGGTGAATGTGTATGAACATGTATGTGTGTATATTTATTTGCATTTATTTTTTGTTGTTAATCTTCACCTGAGGATATTTTTCCCATTGTTTTCTAGAGAGTGAAGGGAGGGAGGAAGTGTGGGGGGAGAGAGAGACAGAGATAGAAAGTCAGAGAGAGAAACATCAATGTGAAAGAGACGCACTGATTGGTTGCCTCCAGCACGTGCCCCGACTGGGCCGGGGACGAACTGGAAACCTTTGACCAGCAATTGGTGTGTGGGCTGACTCTCTAACCACTGAGAACACTGGCCAAGGCTACGCTCATTTTTTATTTTGCTAACATGTATAAAACATACATAGCAAACATTCTAGATACAGAGACCATCATTTTGACAATATGATTACTAGTTTCAGGGCCTGGAAAATGCAGCTCACCACATAAAAGTATCTCAGCACAAGAAATCAATAATTTTCAAAGCTGGTAAAGCTTAATATCAATTCCACATTTTAAAAAAGATTGATGCTAAAGGTAGGTTAATAGGGTAGAGGAACACTTAAATTCATATCAACTGGGTTGCTAGTAAGCTTACCTTACAGCTTTGAAAAAATCTGATTTCTTGTGTGTTTCAGTGGTGAGCTGCATTTCCTGAGTCTCAGCCGACTTCCCAGCAGGAATTCGTCTCATGAAGAATCAGCAAAAAGAAGCACTCACTGAGAGACACACTGGGATCGTTCACTGAGTGGAGACAGTGAAAGAGCAACATATTTCTAAAGGCACTTTAGACTGGTCGCATCTATGCGTACACAGAAAACACAGATTTAACTTCTCATGGCAGACTGGAAACCCTGGCTGCTTTTTGACCAAGCATGTGGTTTCACTCCACCTACCTCTTTGGGATGACAGTCATTCACCACCGTTCATCCCTCATGCCTTTTTAATAAAACAAAATAAAAACGTTTAGACATGAATTTGAGCGACAGTGATGACATAGCTAGAAGGAACACTGGAGTCTTACAGCAGAAAACAATATTGGGGAGGTCAACTGTTATCAAATACAAAAACCAGAGAAGCAAATAAACACCAATTTTTGCATCATCTTTATAGTACTGTCACCTCTCAAAGCCGTGATGGTCAGATCTGGAAATCTTGCATAATCTATACAGGAATATTTTTGTTAAACGTTTGAAATGAGTATTTAACACTTTCAAGAAAAGCATGTTTTTGAAGATAACACACGAATTCATGAAGTATTCCTTTTTTTTTTTAAGTATGTTTTATAAAATATCTTGAACACAGTAGTTCACTAGGAATTAATAGAACACAACTGTAGAAACTAAGTCTTAGAAAGCAATAGAACTTTTCTTTAAGAAAATCCCAAGTACATATGTCACTGATAATTCTGAATGGTTAAGGCTTAATAAAGTGTTTATGGCTCTAGATAGTGCTGTCCGTGGAGTACCAGTAGCCACATGTAGCTATTTAAGTTTAAATCTAAATTATTTAAAATAAAATTTAAAAATTTAGTTTCTTAGTTGCACTAGCAACATAGTAAGTATACAATAGCCACGTGTGGCTGGTGGCTCCTGTATTGGACAGCACAGCTCTAGATAAAGCACCTGAGAGAGAGACAGTTATATGGGTCAAGCCCTTACCTGGTCTGAGGAGGTGCGGGTGTGTGAAGGGGCTGGGCTGGCCCAAGTATCGGTTTGGAACCCGCCTGTCTGGAATGGGCTGGAGAGTGTACCTTCTCCGAGACCACGATGTGCATCCTAAGGAGAAAGAAAGAGGGTGAAATGGGAGAAGGAATCTAGAAGGTCCTCACAGTACATGTGTACATTTACCCATCTCCAGCATTTGGGTGTTTTAGAAAAATGCAAATTAATTTCACCTTTGCCGAAACCGGTTTGGCTCAGTAAATAGAGCATCGGCCTGCGGACTGAAAGGTCCCAGGTTCGATTCCGGTCAAGGGCATGTACCTTGGTTGCGGGCACATCGGGGGTGTGCAAGAGGCAGCTGATCGATGATTCTCTCTCATCGATGTTTCTAACTCTCTATCCCTCTCTCTTCCTCTCTGTAAAAAAATCAATAAAATATGTTAATGGCCTTTGCTTGTTTCCGATTACTCAACTTCTCAAAAATCAGCTCCAACATCTAGGAAGCCTGATTTTTAATTCCCCATCCCTACTGCATCTGATTCGAAGGCCCCTTCTCAATGCTACTGCACTTAATTCTATTTTGCTATTGTTATTAATCCTAACCTGAGGTATGTGTTCCATTGATTTTTTAGAGAGTGGAAGGAAGACAAAGAGAGAAACATCGATGTGAGAGAGACACATAGATTGGTTGCTTCTTGTATGTGCCCGACCCAGGCGGAAATAGAATCTGCAACCCAGGTACAAGTCCTTGACTGGGAATTGAACCTGTGACCCTTGTGCACAGGCCAACACTCTATTTACTGAGCCATATCAACCAGGGCTTAATTCTATTTTAGGACCTACTACACTGCACATAATTGCTAAATTAGTTTGCTATGAACTTTGGGAAGATAGAGATTATTATTTGACTTTATTTTTCCCAGTGATGAAATTTGGGATATATTTTTGAAGGTAAAAAAGCCAACAAATCTGGGTTCTGATTAAATGCAGGGAGTAAAAAAAGCATATTAAGGATGATTCCCAGGCTTTTGCAAGTGGGTGGAAGGTTATGCCATTAAATGAAATGGAAAAGATTGAGATAATTATTGGCTATTCCAATGGAGAGTCTTAATTTGGTGGGTGGGTGTGAGGGATGAAGAGGAATAGGTTAGATATATAAATTAAGGTGTCCTAAGCACATGGGTGGTATTTAAAGTCCTGAGACTGAATTATTACCTATGAAGATGGTATAGAGAAAGTCCAGGTACTCTATTATTTTGATGTGAGGAGAAAAAGCACAGGAGAAAGGAAGAAAACTGTAAGAATGTGGTATTTAGGAAGCTAAGGAAACAAGTGTGTTATGAGAGGGGAAGCACTTAACTGTGCTACGTGCTGCTAAATATGAGACCAAAAAAGAACTACTGGATTCAGCAACACGGAAGTCACTAGAGACCCTGACAAGAACAGTTTTAGTGGAATATGGAAGATAGACATCAAAATGGGTGAATTTACAAGATAAATAGGTTCTGGGGATGTAATGTATAGTATGGTAACTATAGCTAACAATTATGTATTGTATATTTGAAAGTTGCTAAAACAGTAAAACTTAAAAGTTCTTACAACAGCCCTGGCCAGGTGGCTCAGTTGGTTGTAGCTTTATTCTGTACATCAAAGAGTTGAGGGCTCGATTCTGAGTCAGGGCACATACCTAGGTTGCAGGTTCAATCCCCCATAGAGGGCTCATAATGTGCAATGTCCAGAACCGAAACTTTAAAAAATATATATATATTTTAATCGCTTCTCGGCCTTTTGGCTAAGATCAAGTGTAAAAAAAATATTTTATTGATTTTTCTCAGAGAGGAAGGGAGAGGGATAGAGAGCTAGAAACATCGATGAGAGAGATATATCAACCAGCTGCCTCTTGCACACCTCCCACCGGGGATGTGCCCACAACCAATGTACATGCCCTTGACCGGAATCGAACCTGGGATCCTTGAGTCCGCAGACCGATGCTCTATCCACTGAGCCAAACCGGTTTCGGCTAGAACCTAAACTCTTAAATCCTGGTCTAAGAAATGAGATAGAGTTGGAAAGAGTAGAATTTGGAATCAGACAAACCCAAGTTTAAATATCAGATTTTTCACTAATGAGCTAGGTTTCCTTAGGCAAATTACTATTTTTCAGAGGCTCAGGTTTCATATGGACACAAAGTATTTATTTTGCTGGAATGCCATGACAGTTCAATGAGAAACTGCATGTAAGACACTTGCTACAGCACATGTGTCAAACACACGGCCCGCGGGCCAAATCCGTCCCGCCAGGCCTTGCAATGTGGCCCGCACCGCGCTGTCATCACTGCACTCCGCTGCGTTTCCATCACAATGACAGTTTATGACTGTTCAGTAAACCATTCGGCCCGCGATTTAGGCTGGATTTTAGATTTTGGCCCCTTCTCTGATTGAGTTCGACACCCCTATGCTACAGGATCTAACCCAAAGATGGTACTCAAATAATGTTCAATATTATTATTGCTGCTATTTATTTTCAATGGCAGGCAAATATAATTACATGTGTACCATACATAGTTTAAGCACAGATACTGGAGAGAATTGAAATGAAAGAGTTTTGCAATACTTCTAGTCAACCGGTATACAAACAAAAAGTAAAAAATATTCAAAGCTGACAAATTGTCTTGAAAGACTGGCTAGAAACGTACACTATTATTTTCTATGTCACTAGAGTATCATTTAAACAAGTTTTTTATACATGTGATGAAAATGAAACAAAATAATATATAGAGGAGGAGAAACAGAGAAAGAGCATCACAGGCAATTTCCTAGGGCAATAAAATGAGCCAGGAATAGAAAGTACATCTTTTTAATTCAGGCCCAGCCTATTGATAATTTAAATTGTCCCCAAAGAAAAGCAACTTTGGTCGAGTTTGCTTCTAACTGGATATTTTTTAAATTGATTTTTAGAGACAATGAAAGGGTAGGGTGGAGCGAGGGAGAGGGAGAGAGAGAGTCTACCTGGATTTTCTAATTCTAACTTTCCCACATGCAACTGATTCTCCACACAGCAGACACTGACCCACTGAAAATGTAAATCTGGCCCTAACTGGTTTGGTTCAGTGGATAGAGAGTTGGCCTGTGGACTCAAGGGTCCCAGGTTCAATTCCAATCAAGGGCATGTACCTTGGTTGCAGGCACATGCCCAATAGGGGGTATGCAGGAGGCAGTTGATCAATGTTTCTCTCTCATCCATGTTTCTAACTCTCTCTCCCTCTCTGTAAAAAATCAATAACATATATTTAAAAGAAAGGTAAATCTGATGCATTACTCCTCCCCCCCACCTGGCTTCCCACTAGAAATGAATGCCAGCTTTATTCAGAATGGGTCAAAAGTGGAAAACCAACATGTCCATTCACATGGCTGGTAGCTATTATACTGGGTCATCACAGCTCTAATGCCATCTCTTCAGGGGCCTGGGAAAACCAATGGAAGGTAGCTTTCTGCCATCACGCTACTTTTTTCGTTGCACTCTATGATAATGTAAACACCATGAAAACTGGCATTTTTAAAATTTAGTACTGTTATTACCAGTGGCTAAAACTGAGCCTTGCACAAAGTAGGAATTCAATATGTATTGAATACATACACAGTTTTCAAAATCTTTTATTATGTTTTTTTAGACTTCTTCATTTTTCCAAACCAAAACATGCAAGCACTGGGAAGTAAGTTATTAGGACTTAGAAACCTAATAACTTAGAGATCACATTATGCAAGTGGCACGCTGTGGCCAGTAACAACAGGTTCCACTGATTTATGAGGAATTGTGTGAGGCTTCCAGAGAAATATAGGAGGATCATCCAGAGGGTTCAGGATGGTTTGGTATGACTCTGGACTAGCTCCATTTAGAAGGTCAAGTCCCTACCCAACCCCAGAATGACACCATAATGTGGCTCTCTCTGACATAAGCGTGTACCTCTGCCTGCCTCACAATCAGTACCCTATCGTCTCCTAGCGACCCGCAGGAACATTGTCTTCAATGTACAAATGTGCCTATTTGCAGTCACTCTACCACCACCACCAGCAGAGCCGGGACAGAAAGGAAACCCCGGTTCTTACTACCCAGGGCACCCCCTTCCAACAATTCGTTAAGACATGGTAGATTACTATGAAGTTCTAGGAGTTCAGAGATATGCTTCATGTGCGGACATTAAGAAGGCTTATCATAAAGTGGCACTTAAATGGCACCCTGATAAAAATCCAGAAAATAAAGAAGAAGCAGAGAGAAAATTCAAAGAAGTAGCTGAAGCGTATGAGGTATTATCGAATGATGAAAAACGGGACATTTATGATAAATATGGCAAAGAAGGATTAAATGGCGAAGTCGGAAGTAATATTGATGATTCTTTTGAATATGGCTTCACATTCCATAAGCCAGATGATGTCTTTAAAGAAATTTTTGGTGAAAGGGACTCATTTTTATGTCTTTTCTTTGACGACTCACTCGAGGACCTTTTAAATAGTGCAAGGAGGTCCTACAGGAGGAGAAACAGAGGTGCAAGATCCTTTTTCTCGACCTTCCGTGAATATCCAGTTTTTGAGAGGTTTTATGAATATGATGCAAGATACGCACCATATGACTCACTGGGCCATGAGGACATGAATTCTTTCTCTTCCCTGGCATTTGAGGACAGTGGGCTGGACAACGACGCACCTTTTACTGCACACAAAGCTGCTAACGGCAGAAAGACCAACATGAGCAGAATTATTGAGGAAAGAGAAGGCGAAGAGGATGGCGAGTTCGAGTCCTTCCTCATCATAAACGGTGTGGCCGCGGAGGAGGGCTTCGCAGAACGCAGCTGGAGGAGGCAGCCACCCGACAACTGTACCCCGAAGTCCTACAGCTCCAAGCACGCCCCTCAGTGCACCTGCGTGGAAAAGGAGCCATGTGCACCGTGGGTTACCAGCAGCAAGGAGCCCCCTGTTTTCCCAGCAGGATTCAAAGAAGGTGGTAAGAGGAAAAAGAAGAAGCACAGAGAGGCGCACAAGAAGAAGTCAACCAAAAGGCATCGTTAAATTGGCTCTTCAGACACATTATGTTCATATAACATTTGGAACACGGCTCTCTGTGTTGTGATTTATCCGCCTTATAGGTAACTTCTGTTTAATACCAGAGTAAGATTTACCATCACCACGATCAGCAGGATTGTGGCCTGGTTGTTTGGAGGTATCTCTGCAAAAGATGTATGTGTGGTGACAATTACATTAAGAATTTGGAAAGTGGCAAAGATGATTTTGCTTCTGTTTTTGAGCTAAAAGTTTACATATTAGGTTTTTAATAGCTTATGATCTATTTCGTTATTTTTCTTTTAATGAAAACTATACAAATTTCTGAAATATGTATAGCATTAGGAACTAAAAATGTATTGAGACATACAGGTTCAGGTTATATAATTATTCATGAAATGAGGTAGAGCATTGGACATAACTTAAAGACATTATAAATTAAAAATTAAAGTATAAAGTATTTTATTTTAAGTTAAAAATAGCTAGACTCATATTTGTACAGCCATGTCACAGCAGTAATTATTCACAATAGCCAAGAGGTACAACCAATCCAAATGTCAACCAATTAGTAAATACGTAAAATATGTGTACATACAGGCATAGAGTGGAATATTATTCAGCCATAAAGAGAACCTGGGACCCTTAAGTCTGCAGGCCACCGCTCTATCCACTGAGCCAAACCGGTTAGGGCCATGGTAAATTTTATGTTATATGTATTTTACTAACAAAACAAAACAAAACAAAACAAAAACAAAAATGCCAGACTTACCATGGATTCCTCAGAGCAACCTGGCTATATCATGTGCTCTAGACCAGTGCTATATGAGTGAATCACTCCAGGTAAGAAACTTTCGATTTTATTTTGTTTTGTTAATCTTTAGCTGAGGTTATTTTTTCCCACTGATTTTTAGAGAGAGTGGAAGGGAGGGAGGGGGGAAATAGAAGGAATGGTGGAGACAGACAGACAGACAGACACACACACACACACACACACACACACACACACACCCTGATTGGTTGCCTCCTGCACAAGCCAGACTGGGCCTGGGGAACCAACTTGCAACCCAAGTACGTGCCCTTTGCCAGGAACTGAACCCATGACCCTTCAGTGCGCAGCCACACTCTGCCACTGAGCTACAATGGCCAAGGCTCCATTTTCTTTTTGAGTATCTACGCAGGATCTACAGATACTTTAGCCATTACAATTTAGGGTTATGATAGAAGATAAATAATGAGTTACAGACACATTAGACACTGAGCAAGTAGTTTGAACTAAATGTTTGAATACGTCCTTTCAAATGAACTTATTATTTAATTTTATTAATATAATTTATTAAATATATTTAATATTTTGCAAATTACTGCCAAATACGTTTCCCTCTTAGAGACCCAGAAGTGGTTTGCCATGGGCACTGTGAAATGCAGCATTCCGCATACTTATTCCTCAGAACCATTTTGGTGTAACACCTATCAATGTACCTGGGAACATATTTCAAAAAAGGCTTCTCCAGGCTTATTAACAATTGCAAGGGCAACCAAGAGCACCATAGACATTAAAAGTTCTATTTCTGAGCACCTTAAGTCAAGAGTTTTCAAATTCTAGAATTTAGTAAAATCTCAGGACAACATAAGATTTGCAACCCAGTAGTGCCTTTTTTGAGCTCCCATGTCACCCGAGTGAAGACTCTTTTACCATTCTTGGCTATACTGTCACTCATCTATTGTTTATCACTCTGGCTAGACTTGAGCAACTCCAGGAAAGTGGAGATCCATCCACAGTGACTACTAACTCAACGGTTATTGCATTAGCAGTCATTGTGGTTCAATAAAAAGTTCCAAAAGGACTCTACTAAGCCAGAGTAAGACCCAGTGATGACATAACAGAAAAAGCACCAGCTGGTAACATTCCTGACTTGCTACTTGTGATCTTGGGTTAGTTTCAGTTGCCAGTTAGTAACATAAGAGTATCTGCCCTAATTGATTGGACTTGTGAAGAACCAAGTAGAATCACTCGTTTATTCAAAAAAGCATATGCATATAGTATAGAAATGATAACATAAGAGGTGGTTAAATTTACTTATTTTATTAAGGCAAAATGAAGTGTAATATCTTTCTAAAGGATCTTGGTGTGTATAATAAAGTATCCAGTCCTAAACCTTGATGAATTGGGTTTTACACAAAGCCTTAACAAATACAAAAAAGGTCACAAGCAAAGGTCACAGCTCTGAGTCATAGGTTGTGGCCTCTGTGATTAAGATCGACTAATTGGGACTTGGGGTGGTGAACACACAATACAATCTACAGTTGACGTATTATAGGATTATACTCCTGAAACCTATATAATTTTATTAACCAATGTAACTCCAATAAGTTCAATAAAAAAAAAAAAAAAGACTAACTGCACATCTATTCACCCACTCCCACGGAAGGGAAAGCTTCTGCAGAACTGAAGCAAGGTCTGAGCCCTGGACAATGATTACCTTTTATTTTTTAGAGCAAGTTTTAATTTAATTACCATTCCATTTTCAATTAATTCAAGTATACCACCAGAATCAGAAACATATGCCAAGTCATAGCTTTGATGCCAAAATACCATATGTTCTGGTTCACTCATTGTTCACACATCGGCCCCCCCAAAAACGAAATTTGATTCAATGGCACATCCACCTGCAACGCAGTTGATTCAGCTTTCACGGACGAAGTCTTATGTTCATGAGATTTAGATGCACCCTAAAAGATTGGCCCCCCATTCCTAGACTTCTTCACCTTGTCTTTACAAACAGGGAGCTCATACATAAATAAAAAGATTATTTCCAAACATTACCTCTTCGAGAGGGATTGCTCAAAGGATCTGTGTTACTAACCATGCTTGTTGTACATTCTGGGCCCAATTTTTTTTTTTTTTATAATATATATTTTATTGATTTCTTTTTTTCTTCTTTTTTTTTCTTTTTTTTTTTTTTAACAGAGAGAGAGGGACAAGGATAGAGTTAGAAACATCAATGATAGAGAAGCATTTATCAGCTGCCTCCTGCACACCCCCACTGGGGATGTGCCCGCAACCAAGGTACATGCTCTTGACCGGAATCCAACCCGGGACCCTTGAGTCCGCAGGCTGACGCTCTATCCACTGAGCCAAACCGGTTTCGGCTCCCCTTGGTTTTTAAGTAAAAAACTCATTAACAACACGAGAAAATAGAATGTCAGGTTGACCTCACAGAAACAAGAGCCACTTGGCAGCAGTCCCTCTGACACCTAAGCAAACGGGGTAACTGACATAACTCCCGAGACCACGTAACTTTGAAGACAGCCCCTCTCGGGGTGGCCACGCTGTTCTCCGCAGTCATTCCAGCTTCCCAGAATAACCGTAACGGAAGAGAGAACGCGGGGCCCACCCGTCCCGGGGAGCGGCCGGTAAAGAGGTCCGAGGGGCGCCCGGAGGGTTGAGCAGTGGGGGCCTCAGCAGAAGGGTCCCCCTCGAACCAGCGATCGCCCTGAGACCAACGTGGGTCCCCTCCGGGGCGCCTCAGGCTTCGCAAACCTCGGAGGACACCTAGGGGGAGGCGAGTCTAACCTGAGAGGCCGCGGGCGCTCGCTACAGCGGGAACCAGCTTAGTCGCTGAGAGAAGCCACGGCATGCCGGCCGCGCACACGCGTCAGGGAGGAGAGGAGGCGGACGGCGGGGGAAGCGGCGGCACGCCGGGCTGCGTCGCCAGGAAACCGAGCCAAGCGCCCCGCCCCTTCCGGCCGGCGCGCTGCTCGCCGGGCTTTCCTCCGGAGGCGGCGCACAGGATGACGTCACGCCGCGGCTGTGGGTGACCACCGCTCTGGCCGGATTGGCTTGGTGGCGTCATGACGTCACGCCCCACTAAGGGCTCCCAGTCCCAGAACGCCGGGTTCGAAATGACTCCCGGCAGGGCCTGCCGCCTCCCGCCTCCTGGAAGGCGCCATGCGGCCGGCGGTTCTATCCGGAGAACCGGCTCGGAGCTGAGAACGTAAGAAAGCGTGCGTCAAAGGGGCAGGCAACGGCGCGAACAGCCACGCTTCTAGAAGGTTCTCACCAGCGCGCCGCCGGAGGAGAGGTGAAGGGAGTCGGAATGAACCGGCGAAGGACCCGGGGTCACGAGACCGTTGGTGGGAGGAGCCGGAGGCCGGGGAAGTTCTAGTCTGTTCTGCCTCGCGGCTGCCGCCCCCTTCCACACGGTGCGGCCGAGGGAGCGCCTGTGCCCGCCGCAGCCCCGCCATGGACCCCCGCAAAGTGAGCGAGCTCCGCGCCTTCGTGAAGATGTGCAAGCAGGACCCGAGCGTGCTGCACGCCGAGGAGATGCGCTTCCTGCGGGAGTGGGTGGAGAGGTGAGCCCCGGCCTGCGGGCCGTTGGGGCGGGAGCCGGGGCGCGCGGAGGGGGCGCTGGGCCGGAGAGGCGCGGGCCGGGGTGGGGGGGGTGGCGGGCAGGGCCGCGGCGGAGTGGCCGGCTCTGCGGCTCGCTCTCTTGGCCCAGGAAAGCGAGGCCACCTCCGGGGGCGAACGGAGAATCGGGGCCCCGAGCCCAGCGGGGCCCCGCGCGCTCCCGCCGCCGGGGGTGTGTCCGGGGCGGGACGTGAATGCCGGGGGCGGCCGGGCCGGGCCGCGGTCGCGCGTCACGGGGGGAGGGTCAGGAGTTGCACGGAGTTGTTTTTCTGGAAATCTCCAGCGTCCTGCTTAGGTTGCAGGGTCACGCAGCAGCTCCTTTTCGGACTGTGCCTTGAAATCGTGTTTTGTAACGTTGGTTCCTGACGCCGTTAAGTTGCAAAAACACGGATCGCTGTGTTTAATGGCCCGTTAACGACAGCGAGTCTAACAGCGTAGAATTATTTTGGGAATCACTTCTATCTCCGCCGTAACGTCGTTCCAGACACTAAAAACAAGAAAAAAAAATAAAAAAAGGGAAGAAAAGGAGTTTTCAAGGACCGGTGTATTTCCATGATCATTATCTTTGGAGCGCACGGAATTAATTGCATAGGCATTGCGCCAGATGCTAGGAAACAGCACGCTCTAGGGATACAGATGAATAAGCACAGAGAGGAGATCTTTACAGAAATGATTTTTAAAAATCACTACTACTAGTGGGGATTTAAAAGCGATAACCTACACGCTGTGCCTCGTGGTGGTAAATAGCGACAGTGCAAGGCAGTATGACTTCCAAAAGACAGTACCCTAACCGTGGGTCTGTTTCCTTTAGTAATATTTCCATAAGGGAAGGTGAACCCATACTTAACAAGTGTTGGGAAGGCTATTTCCTCCAACAAGCTTGTTCTCAGTGTGTCCATGAGGGTATAGTTTCCTGTAAGAAGTTTTTAAGCCCTTATTCTCCCTCACCAGTTTTCTAGCTACTATTAAGATTTTACTTATTTATTTATGTATTTAATTGATTTGAGAGAGAGGAAGAGAGAAACATCGATGTATTGTCCCACTTATTTATTCATTGGTTGATTCTTGTATGTTCGCTGACTGGGAATGGAACCCTCAGTGGCCAGCTGAGCTACCTGGCCAAGGCTTCGGTGAACATTTTAACTGACATGAGCAGAAAGCCTCTAACCTCAATGAACTTATTTTATTTTATATGTATGTATTGATTTCATAGAGGAAGGGAGGAGAGAGAGTGGCTCTGTGGTTGAGTGTCGATCTCCCAATTCATAGCCAGTGGGCTCAATTAATTTAGAATATAGCATCCATTGTTTTTTCTTTTTAAACATGTGCTTAAGTAACTATAGCACAACATAGATTGAATGTTACCGAATTAAAGGAATTATGGTTGCCGGGCCAGTTATTTTGTAGAATTTCCTTCAGTCCACGGGCCACTGCTCTAGCCACTGAGCCAAACCAGCTAGGGCCAACTTAAAAAAACAAAGATGATTTTTTTTTTTAAGAGAGGAAAGGAGGTGGGGGGGAGAGAGAGATCCTATCTAATAAAAGAGTAATATGTAAATTAACCATCACTCCACTATACCCACCAGCCAATCAGAGTGAGTATGCAAATTAAACCCAACCAAGATGGCTGCAGCCACAGAGAGCAGGAGGGAGGCTTGAGTTTCCCTGGCAATGGAAGAAGTCAAACTTTCCACATACCCTGGCAAGCCCAGGCCTCCACTCAAGGGCACAAAGTTTCAATTATAGAAGGTTAATAAATTCCAACAGAAATGGCGACAGCTGAAGAGCAGGAGGCTAGGGTTGCCCCAGGCTACTGAGGAAGCCAAACTTCTGCAGCCCTGGCCGACCTAGGCCTTCACTTCAGGCTACAAAGTTTCAATTGTAGAAGATAAAACCCAGATACCAGGGCCTCCGCTTGGGTCACCAGGGGTCGTGGCTGGCCTGCAAACCACCGCAGGCCCCTCACCCAGGCTGCCCCACACCTCAAGGGAATCCCCACTCTGATTCCGGACACTCTTCAGGGCAAACCAGTTGGCCCCTGCCCGTGTACCAGGCCTTTATCCTATCTAATAAAAGGGTAATATGGAGATTGACCATCACTCCAACACACAAAGATAGCTGCCCCCATGTGGACACAAGATGGCCAGCAGGGGAGGGCAGTTGAGAGGTACCATGCCGGCAAGGGAGGGCAGGTGGGGGCAGTTAGGGGTGATCAGGCCAGCAGAGGAGGGAAATTGGAGGCAAACAGGCTGGCAGGGGAGCAGTCAGGCATCAATCAGGCTGGCAGGGAGAAGGGGTTAGGAGCAATTAGGAAGGCAGGCAAGCAGTTGGGAGCCAGCAGTCCTGGATTGTGAGAGGGATGTCTGGTGGGATCGGGCCTAGAGGCAGTTGGACATCCCTTGAGGGGTCCCAGATTGGAGAGGGTGCAGGCTGGGCTGAGGGACCCTCGGCTCCTCCCCACTCCCCCCTGCACAAATTTTGTGCACTGGGCCTCTAGTATTGATATAAGAGGGAAACATCTATTGGCTGACTCCTTCTGGGGATCAAGCCTGCAGCCTGGGCATGTGCTCTGACCGGGACTCTGACCCGAACAGTGAGCTTCGGGTTCATAGGTTAATGCTCAGTCACTGAGCCATGCTGGCTAGGCAGTAGATTCTTCAGCTTTAAGCAAGAGGACATATAATGAAATCAATTTTACAATATGTTGATATAAACAAGAGTTAATATCAATATCCCACCAGCTATAACAATATTGATTGACCTGTTTGTAATTCATGGTCTTGCCTTGGAACGTTTTGGGAGAAAAGGGCTTGCCAATTCCAAGACGAAGTACTGATGGTAAAGTTCAGAGGAGATGAGGAAATCTAAAATCTGAGCCGCATGTGAATGCAAGCCAGCAGAACCTTTAATAGGTCCCAAAGGAAACAAAAGTTTTGAATTGTTATACAATGACTTCATAATTATTTCCTAAGTGGCCTTTTTGAATTTCATTGGGCTCTTAACTGGACTTTAATATATCTTCTGAATTCTAAACTGACAACTTGTTCAAATGATTTTGTCATTGTATGTTTTTCTTTTGCTGTGTGAGTGTTCATTAGGCTTAATTTTCATTAACTGATACGCTAAAAAGTGAAATTTTAAGCTGAAAAAACTCATAATACTGAATTTATTCAAATTAATCTGAGTTTTTACTCTTTAAAGCAAGGGTTGGGGAATTTTGTATAGTCTGGCCCTGCCTAGGCGCCTAATTAAATGCTTTACTAAATATAGCAGGTTAATTTTTAAGTTGATAATTTTGGATGGCCCTCAAATGATGTAATAAATATCCAAATGGCCCTTGGCTTTAAAGTTTGAAAAGGATAATCATCTGAATGTCTAACTTTTTTTTTTTCCTAGCATAAAAATCATTGCTTGGCTTTTCTAAATAAATATCTTTTTTTTCTCATCTTTCTCAGTATGGGAGGTAAAATACCACCTGCTACTCATAAAACTAAAACAGAAGAAAATAAGGTAAGTTATGAGTTTTATTCGTTTTTTCAGTAGTAAACTATAAGGTTTCTTTGGGACTTTTTTTTTTTTTTTTTTTTAATCTTCACCCAAGAATATTTTTCCATTTTGTTTTGTATTTTATTTTATTTTTTGTGTGTTTTTTTGTTTGTTTTGTTTTGTTTTTTAGATTGTAATGGATGGGGAGAGACAGAGAGAGAAACATCAATGTGAGAGAGACATTGATTGATTGCCTTCGGCATGAGCCCAGACTGGGCCTGGGGATTCAGCCTGCAATCGAAGTATGTGTCCTTGCACAGAATCGAACCTGGGACCCTTCAGTCTGTGGGCCAACATTCTATCCACTGGGCCAAACTGGCTAGGGCTCTTAGGGATTTTTTTTTAATTGCTGCTCTCAAATTACCACTCCTGATCTCCCCAAGATCACTTGGAAATAAGATATTTGTAACATTTCTATTTGGACATCAAATCTCTGGAAACTGATTTAAAACTGAGAATTTTGGGTTCACTGTATTTTAGAATAAATAAAAGTAAATACTCTTTGTAAGCATGACCTGTAAGTGGCAAGCTCAGTGATTGAGTGCACTTTTTAGTCTTCAACATTGTATAGTTAGCATCTAGCACATTGTTTTATGCATTGTGGATACTTGATTAATTTTGCAAAGTAAATGAACAAATAGTTAAAGTCAGTAATTCCCAATTTATTCTGTGCTACCACATGAGGGATATTTTTGAGTATGATTCATGGTGTTGCTGTGTTATTTAGAATCCTAAACTAGGTTTATCTATTTTTATGTGAAAGTAGAAGTTATATCTTTGAACAAGTGAAATGAAAGAAGTAAAGCCAAAGCTCCAAATATTTCCCCAGAGAAGTATTTGTCAG